TTCTCACTTGATCCGTCGGGCGCTCCTTACCCCACACACGTGCGCTGCGTCCTCTGCACAGGATACCAACACCCCGGCCAAGGAGCCTAAACAGGGGTTTATTGACAATCGTTTTATTTCTAGCGTGGCGTTCTGACCTTTCTCATGCGGCAGCCGGCGCATGTTCAGCATCACGCTTGAGAAGCAGCTGATCTTTTCTATGACCCTGGGAGGAGATAATATGGACCGCAGTCATTGTCTTATCTGGTCACGGCTCCAATAGTGAGCAATATAAAATAGCCCCTTTGCCAGGCTTTTCCTCCAACAAACCTTTCTATTCCCAACTAGTAGGTTGTCTGAAGCATCCACGAAACCATTATGCGACTGACACATCCTTGCAGCACAATCGCACATATCATCATCACCATGTTGTCCTACAACACTGAGCAATGCAACTGCACCTCCACGTAAGTCTTTTCTTGCACTACGTTTCAATGGCAGGGTTCTAAATGTCTGTCAAAAGCTGCAACTGTGTGGTCGGTAGCTGCACCTGCAAGAACTAAGCGTTGCGCACAAGCGCATGCATAACCATCTTCTTTCTGCCTTTGCGCATATATAAACATGTTAACCTCGATTGTTGAATTCTAGTGTTGTATTGAAATAAGCGTTGTTTGCAACAGATCTTGATAAAGTCGAAAGTAAAGACTGAACCGGTATTGTCTGAATGGCCTGAAACCACTACTTCGAGAACGCTGATACTTAGTATCAATGATATCGTGACAAGGACAATATTAATGAACTAATGTCATCTTCAGCAATCTGCAAAAATATTAGCAAAAATTCTGTAGCTCCTCAACCACTTCGCGTGTTCTTTCGCGAGTTTGTGGCATTGTAGATTCATATCTCCTCTACATAGATCTCATTTTTACTGATTTTTAGGACCATGTAATGTGGCGTCGGAGGAAACCCGAGAAAATTCAGGGTCACTCCAATCTGCAAAATCCAGTCACGGGTTGTCACACCTCAGCACAGTACCGGGGTAGTCAATTTTACTTCTACTCTCTGCAGCGATGAGGTTGTTGGGTTTGTGCGAAATACAAGCGAGGAGGGACTGAATTTCTTACACATCTTCCGCGGTCTGTCTGGTACACGCTGTCGTTCTACCACCATATGTAGGACCTCGACGCAAGTGCCAAGAAAATTAAATTGAATTTGGATTCTAGTATCCCTACTACGGAATATTCATTGTACTCCGGGTAAAACTTTGCGAATAACTTTGCAGGATCTTCAAGATCTGGGTGATTTGTGTTCGAGCAAGGTTGCAAAAACACCACTATTTCATCACTCGCAGCTGCAACTTCCAAGAAACTTTGATTCTACTGGTACAGGACATCATTTCTCGGTACTCTGCATGCCTGAATCTTTTCGACGCCAGTCGAGTACAATATTGAGGTGCTCTGACCATTTTGCATATTAGGTACCCTTTGCAGAATCCAGATAGTACTAAGTACTCCCGAGATTCCGATGCACCTCCGCTCGTGATCGTCATACCTTAGAGCTGCTGACCTGTCACCCAGGTTTCTTCTGCTCTAGGGCGGTATGTACACGTACGTGTGTGTTCCCAGGTGTTCCCTCGCATTGACGCAGATTTACCTCCTACAGGACAGAACTATTGTCATGTCTAAAAGCTAAAAATTTGAAATTTAAAAGGCAATCAACCGCTATGACGTCGCTAATTGTGAAGCCTCTCTTTAGCAGCATATATAGGGAAACCTATGGGCAAATCAATTGCACACATTATCAGGCATTACCCACGCGCAGCATAACTGTCGCTTCAGCCATGGAAATACCTGATCTGCAGGCCACATGTCTTGTAAGAATGAAAAAACTGGTTAGAAGTGGTAGTGAAAGTCCCCTGGATGACACAGTGAGTGATGTTCAAGCCTTAGGGTGAGATGGTCCGGAAATAACGACGTATACCCAGGCCGTGACGCAAGAGCTTGTGCAGTGGCGCAAAGTTCGTCATTGCAATGTTGTCTCAATCTTCGGTGTCTTTTACCGTGATTCGACACCCTTCCTGATCTCCTCGTGGATTACTGGCGTAAATCTGAATGCCTTCTTGAGGGAGCATGACCATCTCTCACCGTATGATCGCATGTCCCTGGTAAGTCGGCTGCGCAAGAAATGATTTTGACGACGTTCCCACATAGTACTTGCATGCAGATCTCAAACGTAGTATCAGGTCTGGAATACCGTGCGTACCATTCTGACTGACTCGCACGGTACCTTACATGTTTTTGTCTGTAGTACATTCATCCTCTGTTGTCCACGGAAATCTCACTGGGGTACGGTTGAATTATTTCGGATATGACTTTCACTGATGCATCCACAGGCCAATATCCTCGTCGAAACTGGAAAAGATAGAAACGTTCCATTTATAACAGACTTCGGACTCGCGTCAGTACGCGGACCCATACAGGGTAGCGCATTCCTCCGGACATTCAGCGATGTCCCGGGTGCAATTAGATGGGCAGCGCCAGAACTTATTACAAAAGAAGTCGAAAGCCCCACAATCTGCAGCGACATTTATTCTTTCGGCAGCGTTGCATTGCAGGTCAGTTATCTTCGTATTGCCCCTCCTTAATTCTCTCTGTTAAATCACCAGTCCAGATCGCCACTGGGAAAGTTCCGTGGAGTGAACTGGAGGACGATTTTGATGTCGTTGTGAAACTAAGTCAGGGCCTTGTCCCTCCTCGCCCAGAGGACTCTTGGATCAACGATACTCTTTGGGCATTCATTGAAAGCTGTTGGGAGTTCATTCCAGAGGATCGGCCAACTTCTAAGAATGCATTCGACTGTGCTGTGGGCGAGCTTCTCCCAATGCTCAGTACGAACGACGTCAAGACTCCCGACAAGGCTGATGCAGCAGTTGCAGAACCTGGAAACTCCTTTCAAGGAAGAGGGCGTACGAGGGACCTCCTGAGTGATAGGAGCTTCCCTCCGGCTGCCATTGCAAGATCCCCTGAGAGCCTGTGTCATGTTACTGCAACTGACACCAAACCTGCTCACAGCAAAGCTGCCCCCGTCCACCTCCCGGGGCCGGCCGCACTTGGATATCTGGAGTCGGAAGTTGTCATCAGTGACGCGGGAAACTTCGGTATTGAAGATGAATTACTTCCTGACGCGGTGGACCTTTCCGAGACTAGCGATGGTGCAGGAGACTTCGGTATTGAAGGTAAACTACTTGACGTGGTGGATCTTTCACCTTTCCCCCCGCCGTCTCACCTGCTGCCGTATCAATACCCTTTGCAGTTACCCATGTCGCCTATGCCATGGGGCGGATACGTGAGTGCTCCATTTTGATCGATTTTCAACCGACTTCTTACCGCGCGGCAAGTTTCCTATGAACCCGTGTAGTCAACCACCACCTCCCTGGGGTTACTACAGTGTTCCTCCCTATCAACCTAGCCCACCTGTTCCCATGTCCCTTTTCTCTACAACAAACCCACTTCCCGACACACATACAAACTGGATAGAGAGCGAGTTGAACCCCTCGCATGAGGAGGCTGCAAATAAAGAGCAGGAAGACAGGGAGTGTGCGAGCGGGATATGTGGTGAGAAGGCTGGGGATAGTAATAAGGCAGGGCAGTCCTCGCTGGAACAGGAATCTGACTCAAGTGACTGGGCTTCTACGAGCCGCCGCGCATTGCAAGCCCAGCTCGACTCATCCAACATGATTGAGATAATATCAGTGCTGGTCGACAAATTCACCATGCATAGGTTCGACTTCATCTCAGACCTGATCATCTACTGGACAAACAAAAGTGTGAGAGAGAAGGGAGGGTGGACGCTCATCCAAGTCAGCCGGCTGGTGTACGAGAAGGCGACGGGTGATGGTGCTTGTAGCACGATGTATGCACGCCTGTGCCGGAAGATGATAAAGCAGATCAGCCCAGATACGCAACACGATGGCATCAGGAATTCCAAGGGCAAGCTCATCACGGGTGGCCGTCTCTTCCGGAGGCATCTCCTCCACTATTGTCAAGAGGATTTCGAGCAGGGATTGTTCGCAAAGGAGGAAGTTGGCTCCAATGAGTGTTACGCTGTGCCAAAGGCGAAGCGCCAGGGTCCAGGTCTGATCAAGTTCATCGGCGAGCTGTTCAAGCTGCACATGCTCAGGGAGAGAATAATGCACGAGTGTGTAGTAAAGCTGCTGAGCAATGTCGAGCACCCCGAGGAAGGGGTGATTGAGAGCTTGTGTCAGCTCTTGGAGACAGTGGGCCAGTTGCTGGATATGCCGAAAGCGCATGCACGTATGAACGCTTACTTCTTGCGCATGAAGGATCTGGGTAACAGTCCCGATATTAGCTCCCGTATCCGATCGATGCTTCAAGTGTGTGGCAAATACTGTCTTCTTTGTCGTTGTACTTACTACCATCATGTAGAACATCATCGAGTTGCGCGACCGCAAATGGGACAACCGCAATGCTGATGCTGCGCCTACGATAATTGCTGCCTCTCACGAGACGGTAAGTTGCAGTGACATTGCTGTGCAAGATATTTTATTGACTTTGAGGTCAGGACTTTTTACGGGCTGCCAAGAAGAAAGGCGCTTTGAAGGAATCTTACATCCGACAGACAAGCATGTCTCGCGGCGGTTCTCGATGCGTCGGTGAGCACAACCAAGAGTATGGCCCTGATGGACGGGTAGTTGCAAGTGGCTTGGTTCCGTGTGCACTCCCTAAGGATGGTGATCAGTCGCAGACAAACATAGGTACACCGAGAATCATTGGGCCGAGCAGCCTGGCAGGCGCGCAGCTTCGCGCGGGCAGCGAGCAACGGACAGTGTACACCGGAGATCTTCAACCAGGGATTCATGTCCGTGACTAGGTTTTGCCTGTTTGCCCCCGATGCTGCCCGCGCAGCTATGGTGCTGAAGGGTGCTGGATTGAGAGGGAGTCACCCACCGGGATTCGAAGCTCGAAGAAAACGCTCCCAGCTCAATCTCTAGCACCACTATGTACATAGTTCGCTGGCATGCTGCGTCGAAGGATTCGGAATTTTCGATTCATCCGGATTTAGTACATCCTGTATTTTCTTCTTTTATCCTACTTATTGCGCACCTTCTGTAATACTACCTTGTCGGCTACTCCGAGACTGTAGCAAAAGCACGAGTAGGTGCATCGTCAAAAGTTTCAAATTAATCATTGGTTAGCCGCTAGGTTTATTACTGTTTCTGGAACAGTTGAGTGGTATCACCTGAGGTGAAAATGAGCGACAGCTGTCAGCAGGACTGCTGCAGGAGCATGCCGCATGCCCGGGCAATTGGCCAAGTTAGAAGACTACGTTATACATATAGTAAAGGCTAGGTGAGGTTTTCAAAGTCCGTTCGGTAACCACTGACCAGGCTTCGCGTATTAGTAGAAGTCGTTTCACAACTCTGTGTAAACTACGTGGGGCGGGAGGTGCGTAGGTGAGATTGTGATAAGAGATATTTATAACAAGCTTCAACCCCACTAGATCTTCAATATTGTCACTAACAAAGTGCCCTCACCCGATCAACAGTCCTTACACTGCCGCAAGGTTTATCTCTAATGGTACTAGTAGAACCGAAGGTAGACCTTTCATCGCTCTCGCTTTTCCGCGCGACTCGTGCACAGGTTGAGGAGACATGGCGCCGGACGTGGCCGCAATGGGGTGGCGCTCTGAGTCTCACCGAGTACCTCGCGCGGGAGGCGGAGATGGAATGTATGGATCACGCAAAGGAGGGAAAGTTGGTCATCTGGTGAGCACCCTATTTTACCGGTAGGAGGGATCTAATAGGTGAGGAAGGGTACTGGCGCCACGAGACGACCCCACGACACTTGATTTCATGTGTGCTTGTGAGACGTAAGCGACTCGATTGCCCTCATTGAACGAGCACTTATCTGATGCGCATCTACGGATACAGATACAAGCGCGCGGGTCTTGTCGCTTACCCCTCTTCCTCCACCTCTGAGCCCAACTCGGTGCACGAAGTAACTTGTTACGCTGTTGCTAGTGTCTTCACCCCCTACAAAGCGCGGGCGCGGCTACGCAGGTCATATGATGCACCTCTTGCATTGGGTCATCGCCCCGCGTGTCAATCTTCCTAAATTTCCGGAGGCATGGGGTGCACCACCGGAAGAGGTAGCGGAGTCTGGTGAGGGACTGTTTTCGGGGCTATACAGTGATGTCGGGGAGGATTTTTACCACTCGGCAGGCCCTGGGGGTAAAGGGGGTGGATGGGAGACGCGGGAAGCGGTTTCGACTATTTGGGAGGTGGGCATGGAGGAGGGAGATGACACTGGATGGACATGGTTGATGCAGGAGCAGCTGAAGGAACTTTGGAACCGCGATGCCAGGCGCATTAAAAAGGAGCTGGCAAACATGCCAGTGAGTGACACTTCATACGAGTTGGAGCACCCGACAGCATTCGTAACGTACCTGCCAACAAACGGTGTCTGCGGGTTCCACATCCCACGGTCAACGTGGGTCTCGAATCTTTCCATGGCAGGCGGATTCTGGGGTGTACAGTCCTCAAGTAGCCCGGATACATATGCAAGCTGGAGCATTGACTTTAGACCTCCCCCACCAACGCTGATCGTCACGCGGCTCTGTGCCCGTGAAGAGACGTTCCCCGGGCTGATCGCGAAGATCAAACAGGCAGCTAGACGAAGCGGAATAAAGAAAGTGGAGGTGTGGAACTTGAGAGGAGGGTTAAGGGACGTTGCGGAGAGGACGGGTGGACGGACGTTCATACGAAACGAACATTTGCCACAGATAATGTGGTATGGACCTGGAGCGACGGGGAGTATAGAGTGGGTGTATAATGAGAAGTGCGTCCTCCTATCCAGAAGTTGCGCACATTTTTACTGACAAAATTTTCAATAGGTTCGGCTGGTGCTGATGCAAGATTTGGAATACAGTTGCAGGTCACCCGGGAGTGTCGCGTTGGCATGGCTAAGAAAAATCAGCTACGTCTGGGAATGACCCTGTAAGCGCATCCGCTTCCACGATCTTGAAGAGGCGGGTACACTCTTCCGATGATCCGCCGCTTCCAACTTGTTGAGAAGTTAGTCGGGTATGCATCCAAAACAATCAAGCAGATGCATGGACAGGTGAGTGTTTTTTGGGTTGAGGAGCGAGCAATGGACAACGTACACCGGAAATTGTCGAGGATGCCATGGCCAGCCTTCTGGACGAAATCGCCATCGGCTCTCCGAAGGCGTTCAACTATATGGCTATCATGCTCAAGGGGTGCTGGATTGGAGAAGAGCCCCAGCCGCTCCAGCGGATTGTAGGTCGAGGACAGCAATAAGTCTTGCCTCACTTGTTTTTAACTCCCACTTCGTTATAATAAGATATGGTCACATTCGCTCTTGATCCCAGTTCGGCATCGACGGCCTCTCGTATCTTTTTTATCCATTTGTTTCCGCCACACTCGGGTGACAGTGTATACATTGATTTTTTCCCTGAGGAATATTTTGGATTCCTCAACGAGGATCCAGCTCCCATTCTTGAATGTTTCCTGAACAGTGTGAACTAACTTGCAATGCATTATAGTATCTACACCTTGGGATCCGGAGATCTGACATTAATGACAGTTACATGAATACATTAAAGGGTTGTCGTCGGTTTCGGAGGATTCCACGTCCACTCTTGATCACTTTCCATCTCCAACAGCTTCTCGATCTCTGCATCGTCCATCGCATAACCTTCTTTCTCGTGACGAGGGAAGCTGCCGTCTCTAACAGCACTAGCATACGCCTTCACACCTCGTTCGACCTCGCTCTTCACATCCCCAAACCGTCTCACGAATTTTGCCTTGTGTCCTGCCCATGTCCCCATTACGTCGTCCCACACGAGCACCTGTCCACTGCAACCAGGGCCTGCACCGATGCCAATAGTAGGCACCTTCAACCGCGATGTGATGTATGCAGCAAGAGACGAAGGAATCGCTTCGAGAACAATGGAGAATGCCCCTGCCTCTTCGAGGGCGAGGGCCGAGTGCAGGATAGATCTTGCGGAAGTCGCTGTGCGCCCTTGGACCCGGTACCCGGAAAGCGCAGTGTGACGCTGTGGTAGCAAGCCGACATGTGCCATCACGGGGATTCCGATACTCGTGAGGGCTTGCACACGTGCAGCGATCTCACTTCCTCCCTCTAGCTTCACGGCTTCCACATTTCCCTCTTGGAGCATGCGAACGGCTGCTCGAATCGTGTCTTCTTTCCCTGTGTAATAGCTTCCGAACGGCATGTCTCCGACAAGAAGTGGTGCGGATGTTCCCCGTGCGACTGCGCGACAGTGGTGAAGCATTTCATCAAGAGTAAGTGAAGTGGTGCTGGGATAGCCTAGGCAGACCTGGGCCAAGCTGTCGCCGACGAGGGTGATATCAATGCCGTGTGTAGAAGCGGCTCGTGCAGTGGGATAATCATATGCTGTGAGCACAGTGATCGGGGTGCGTTCTTGACGGAGGGCGTGCAGAGAGGCAATTGTTACCTTTTTGCGGGCTGTTGTGTACGATGAGAGATCGGGTTAGCGATGGGAGGTAAAAAATCACTCACGCGGCGGTGGAGCTGACTTCTGTGGGGAAGATTCACCAGGTGCGTTTGTGAGATGTTCATATTTTAATGGGCGGACGCTCATACACCGCTGGCCGAGATTGGGGAAGCGAGCGATCGAGGTAACTACTCGAGTACGGGACGCAGAGAAGGGCATCTGTACATGCATGGTAGATTCCTGAGATCGTGAAATCAGAGGATGAGTTATTGCAGCGTGTGTACTCGGCTGATTGTGCTCGCACCTATATGAACACTAGGAATGACCCAACAAATTGTTTCCGTGAATAAATAGTAATAATGAGATTAGGCCATCGTCTGATTGATAATCCACGAGAGGCGGGAAATCCTAACGGATCTGCCCTTGTTAACGCATGTCAAGGTTTTCCGACACTGTGTGTTCCGTCACACCCGGATCACTCACCAGCAGCCGGTTGACTAACGTGAACGTGAATACTCGTTGCTGAAAAGGGAAACTCAATGCACGTGCCTCGCCAACGCGCATTTGTGCAATCCCATTGTCTACACTTTCCCACGCCTCTTACACCACAACTTTCACCAATGCCACCAAGAACGCGCAGACAACGAGCCCAGGCGGCCCAACAAAGCGAGGAGATTGCAGAGATTCAAGTCCAGAAAGCGCTGCTCAACTTTGATGAGGAGATCGAGCAAGACAATGACGAGAACATACACGTTAATAGTGATAATGATAGGGACTATGAGGATGAGACCGACGAAAACTCGTTCAACTTTCCTATAGTGCCCCCACCACTCCGTTCCCTAACAAATCCACTTCGGACGCCCTCGCATGAAGACGCGCTTCGTGACATCACCGATGAGTTCTTTCATCCACCTTCACCGTCTCCGATCAAAGCAGTTCCCGTGTTTGGAAGCCTCAAACCACCTCGAAGACCAAAGAAACCAAAAAGCCTTGCATTTCCGCATGACCCACCAAACTGGCAGCCAACATCACCACTTCCCCCTAGCTCGCCGCTCGCCTCGACTTCTACATGTGGACCACAGAACTACGCGTCAACGTCGCATGCGAATGCTTACGAGTACAACATGACCGCATTTTATCGACGCGCGCAAGAGGTGGAACTTAGAAGTGGTGATTCTGACCCATTCGGCTTTTTTGCGGCAGAGAAGGTGCTGAAAGAACGACGCGCTGCACGTCTACCAAGCGAGAGGCCTACACACGTTCAATCTACCGCTTCACGTGCCACACCATATTCTACGCGTACCAGAACACAGCTAAATCGCGCTACGTCTACTCCAACGCGCCCAGCCGCTTCCTCAGTCCCAATCCCGACAAACGATGAAGACATCGATGATCTCTATCTCGACGAACCAATATCGACCTCTATGCCCGTCCCTGCACCCGTTCTACGACATTCATATATTCCAACTCCATCGTCCTCCCCTGCTTCCCTCCGCTCGGAGATAGCAGTGCCAGCCCTACTTAGACCTCGTCTGGACATTTTGCAAGACCAACCCACGCGCAGTCGTGATCCCCTCCGTACCCCGCGAAAACGTAAACGTGATATCGACGCCGCTACTCCCGCCTCCAGCGATGTAATATCGAGTCCATCACCTGTGAAGATTAGCGTGACGATTAGACAACCCCAAACACCGTCAGATCGCCAGGAGACAGCAGAAGAGCACACTCCTGTCCCGAAACGTGCCACGCGTGCACAGGCAAAAGGGAAGGGGAAAGCGCAGGATGATGCACCCAAGCCTCGCAAACGTGTCCGCACTATCAAAGACGATTCTTCGTTGAGCCCGAGGCAGGCGTGCAAGAACTTGGAGAAACTCTTGCCGCGCAGAGCGACTACGCGAAGGGCAGCTGCCACGGCGAAAGCTGGGGGTAAAGGAAGGGTTAGGGTGGCTGTGGACCTTGTGAGTGATAGTGACAGCGAGGAGGAGCAGAGGAAACGGAGGAAACCTGCATCGAAGGCAAAGCCTGCTTCAAGGGCAAAGCCAACATCAAGAAGTGCAAAACCTGTGTCAAAGGGTGTTCAAAAGTCGCCCTTGAAGAGCGGGAAGCGGGGTAAGGGCAAGGAAAAAGCAAAGCCCCTTGAGGATTTAATGGAGATGTCAGATGATACCCGCGAGGTTCGCTAACCATGTTTATGATGACTGCTTCTCGCTGATAATTGTTTTCTCTGACCCCTAGCGATACGACCAAGAACGCCAAGCGCGCCTTGAGTACTTCCGCAAGCTAGATGGTTACCAGATGAAGAAGGAGAATGTATATGTAGTTTGAAGTTCCTGCACACGGAACAGTGGAATTTTCGGTTTCATCTTGCTTTCATTTTCACAGCCCACTGGCAAGCTTATCTTATGCGATTGTTTTGCATCATGCGTAAAATGTTTCGTTGCTATCGAATGTTCCAGCATGTAGATGAAGCCTCGATGAATGTAATTGGGAACCGTACAGTAGTTCGCATCTCCTTGTGGCTTCGTGTTCACTCACTAAATCATGAAAATCGATCAATTCAGAAAGGCCTATAATATATCGTTCGCTATAATTCTTTGACCTTACGATATTTTCTTTGCTATCCGATTCCAGTTCTCCTGATTAACAGCAAATGCGCCTGCATAAATTGCCTCCATTTCATGCAACTTCTTCCCAGCGATAACGAGGCTGTGAAGTGGTTTTCCAAACACAGACTCTGGTTGGGCTTGCAAATCCGAGAGAGTCCCTGCCACGATGCGTTGAGCACCGTCATTATCATCTGACGATTCTTCGCCGCAGGGCACGCCTCCCACGCGCGATAATGCAATAGCGAGCGTCGAATCGCCATCAAGGATGCCCTCTTTTCTAATGCTTTCGATCTCGAGAAGCTGGTTCACGGCAGTAAGAATGGACATGTATCGTGGCGGCTCGTATATTTTTCTTCCTCTAAGTTTCACAGTGTATGATCAGAAACTGAAGGGGACAAAGAAAGTGACAGATGTCGGCACCTTGCTAGATTCTCTTCGCTTTGTTCCTTGACCTTTATATCAAGAAGTACCAGGGTATGTAGCCCAAACTTCGCGTTCTCTGCGATGCGGTCGTAGAACGAGTCTGGTTTCCATGTGTCTGTAAAGAAGACGAGGGATACGGTCTGCCCAAAATTGTAGAGCTGGAGCCCCGAGCATCCCGCTGCATTGATGATAGATGCATTATGGATGATCTGAGTGGGGATCTGAAGATCGCGAGCTCGGAGCAGCAAATCTGTATGAGTCGTCGCGCTGCACAAAAATCAATAAGCCGATGCAAACAGAAAACAAGGCAAGGCTCACCCAAATGGATCGCCAACGACTAGAAATGCGACGTTTTCAGTTGCTGCATCGCGCAGGATCTCGTCGCTCTCGAGCTCTACCATGTCGCGATCTGCAAGGATGAGCGACTTGCCGTAGAAGGCTTCCTTGCGCGCATGTGAGCAGTAGAGAAGAATGGTTTGAGGATGGACTGACGAGGCGGTCCTTGTTCACCATCAGGATGGACGTGTAGGCCTCTAGGTAGACCCGAGAACAGGATTTGACTGCTTCTAATCCGCGGACGGTGATGTCCTTCTCATCGCAGAGACCAAGACCAATCACGTAGAACATTTTACAACGCTCGAGCTAAATAGAAGGACTAGATCTGATCAAGTCATGTAACCGAGTACATCATGATCGGAATCACGTCGGTAACTTCCACTGCCTGCCTTTTTCAGACGCCTCCGAGTAAACTTACTCGGTCCCTTTCGGTGTCATACATTGTACACACTTCATGATTTCCCGCTTCGCAAAGTCTTTTCTTGCAGTTATCCTTTGCCTCGTACGTGTTTTTATAACTGTGTTCAGATCTTCTCGAAAATGACTGCCGCAGTTTCTGCTGGCCACAGTAACATTCCTTCACCCACCTTCCCGCACGTACATCGACCCATGGACAGGTGACTTTTTTGGGGAAGGTGGTGTCGAACAGGATCTACATCCCCCGCTTTATAATGGCGCAAAACCTTTATCAGCGCAGGGAGGTGTCATCATGTCGAAGCTAGGGAATGAGACTACTAAGTAGGTAATGCGAGATGCCGTTCATTGCGTCTTACACACTTACTGCAGGGCGGAACTCGGTCGTGCGACATGGAAGCTGCTGTGTGTATTTCCTTTATACTTAAATGACTGTTGTTTATTGTGTGAGGTAGACATACTATGACTCTGCGGTATCCAGAGGTAGGATTGGTTGGATGTCTCAGTTTGTCAACTTCGCTCACGAGGCGATATATGCAGCACCCAACACAAGACGAAAGAGACGCTTTGAATTCATATTTCCATCTTACGTCGCGCCTATATCCATGTGGCGAATGCGCCGCCGAATTCCAGAACTGCTGAAGAAGTTCCCACCACAGGTAAGATTTCTCCAACTACGGGCTTCACCAGCTAAAAGGCATTCAACAGACAGGATCAAAGTTGGCTGCAAGTCTATGGTGAAATATTACCCTCTTCTATAACCTGAGTCTCGCATACTTACCTGAGGCCAGGCTGTGCTCAGTGCACAACGAAGTCAACGAGCGGTTAGGAAAGCCGTCATTTGATTGTGCCCATCTTGATGAAACATATGACTGCGGGTGTGGAGAAGACAAATCAACATCCACGGCGCAATCACCAGTGCCATCTGACAGCGCTGAGGACCCTATGGATCTAGAATGGGACACTGCACGAGACGATGTTACTGGTGTAGGACTGATCAAGGGTGGGAAGCGGTAGCATACATATCTACACCTCATTGCCAAGTATGTTTGTGTCGGCCTGTCTGGCGTCATTTTGAAAAACGGTTTGATGGGTTTTTTCAGTTTTCGGATACATCTTCTACTGTTCTATACATCTTCTTGGATACACTGATATCGGTGTACTTGTACTATTTCAAGGTCGACCATAGCTGGAACGCTTGAATGTTTCGAACAGCCTAGGCCATGATGACAGCTGTGCTTTATTTATTTCTTAGTCTCCTCTAGGCAGACCATAATAGAAGGAAGACAGTCGTTCCTTTGATTTTAAGCTTATTTCCTGGGAGTGCCTGTCGGAAGCAACTATCTGAGATCTTATCAGAGGGTAGTTGGATAGATAAACCAAATCAGGACTGATGATCTACAAGTACGAGTCACTAAAGGCTTGTGCTACTTGAGTCTCTTGAGACGTGCACTAAGTTTTGACTCATACCACCATCCAGTTCCTCAGGACTTCCTATTGAGATACCCTCAATGCCGACAATACACATAGATCAAGCCTCAGGCATAGACGCCCCCGGAAACGGGTCCATTGATCAGCCTTATCAGTCCCTTGCCTACGCCCTCTTCTCGACGCCTTCCACTGAAGTTGAAACGACACAGTACCAGATCCGCAAGGACGCAGATGCAGTGTATGATGCCCCAACTCAGTCTGCGACCAAGAAGGCCAAGAAGGACGCCCAGGGACTTGAGAAGAAACGACTAAAAGCGCAAGCCGAAGAGCGAGAGGCAAAAGAGAAGGCGGAGAAACGCGAACGAAGGCTCCAAGAAAGCAAAAAAATTGTTCTTACCGAAGATCAATCGCTCCCTCAATCTATCAAGGTAATAATATTGATGGATCGTGGATGTGCTGCTTATTTTTAAATCGTAAGGCCAAGATAGTGAAACTGGAGCCCCTTCGTGGACAGCGCGTCCGGGTATCTGGCTGGGTGCACAGACGGCGCGATCAACAAGAAATCATGTTTATTGTCCTGCGGGACGGGACGGGATATCTGCAGGCCGTTCTCACTGGGAACACGGTAACTCTTGCAGTTCACAGTTCACTGTTTTGGTCTTTGGATCTGATTCGTTCCTCAGACCAAAACATACGATGCTGTAACATTACAACTAGAGGCATCAGTTGAGCTGACTGGTACACTGAAGGCAGTCCCTGAAGGCCAGCGCGCTCCTGGAGGACACGAACTAGTCGTTGACTATTGGCGTGTCCTTGGTGCTGCTCCTGGTGCCGAGGAAGCGTTTACTAACAGACTCAACGAGGTTCGAATCGATTGACAAATTCCCTAGACATGTGTTGACCGTATCTGCAGCAATCTGATCCGTCAATTCTGGCTGATCTTCGGCATCTCGTTCTCCGTGGCGAGATGGCCTCTTCTGTGCTTCGCCTTCGTGCAGCACTTCTCTCCGCTTTCCGTCACTCGTATGCAGAAAACGACCTTCTGGAAGTGACGCCTCCCTGTTTGGTACAGACCCAAGTGGAGGGTGGTGCAACCCTCTTTAAGTTCGATTACTACGGTCAACCAGCATTCCTCACGCAGAGCTCCCAGCTTTATCTCGAAACATGTCTCCCTTCCCTTGGTGACGTATTCTGCGTTCAGGAGAGTTTCCGTGCCGAAAACAGGTTTGTACCACCTTCTCATTCACCGGATATATTTTTACTCTAACGATCGATGACGTTCCTTGCCAGTCACACTCGCCGACATCTGAGCGAGTACACGCACCTTGAAGCCGAGCTTGCATTCATTACATTTGATGACCTCATGTCACACATAGAAGCCATCGTGCGTTTTATTACTGTCTTTCCGGCTCTTTTGCTTAGTGCAGCTACAGATCTGTGAGACGGTCGACAAGCTCCTCGCCAACCCTACCAGCGCAGCTCTCATTAAAACATTGAACCCTAACTTTACAGCACCTTCCCGTCCATTCATGCGCATGTCCTACGCGTCCGCCATCGCGTGGCTCAACGAACACAAGATCCAACGCCCGGCAGAGGACGCAGACGGTAATGTGATCACTAAAAAAGACGAGGAGACGGGCAAAGACGAGCCCGTGATGGTCGACCACGAAATCGGCGACGACATTGCGGAGGCAGCGGAGAGGCAGATGACGGATATCATTGCGGCGCCGATCTTTTTGTATGGCTTCCCTGCGGAGCTGAAGGCGTTCTATATGCAGAAGATGCCCAAGAAAGAAGGCGAGCAGGGCCCTGTGTACACAGAGAGCTGTGACCTTTTGATGCCTGGTGTTGGAGAAATTGTTGGTATGTGAACTTCTGGACCGTGCGCGATGATGTGGGACTGAGTGTACGATAGGTGGATCAATGAGGATAGCAGATATGGAAGAGCTACTTGCGGCATACAAGCGCGAGGGCATTGACCCCGCTCCTTACTACTGGTTCACTGACCAGCGCAAATATGGTACTTGCCAGCATGGAGGATACGGACTGGGCGTCGAGGTCAGCTTCTCTTTATATTTTTGCGCAAAAACATCTGACATGTCCGGCGTAGCGTTTCCTGGCATGGCTGGCTAACCGATACACTGTTAGGTATGTGCCCAATCATGGCTGATAAAGAGATTTATATTGACACAGACGCCCTCCAGGGAATGCTCGCTGTATCCAAGATGGCCTGGTCGTGCAACCCCTTAAGAGTTTACGAGATCTCGATGTTTGCAATTGACAATATCGTCGATAGAATGTATGGTAATAGATAATCGTGTCTTACATCGCTCCAGCAAAATCCACAATGCGGTCGATTTTCACAATGGGTGTTGAGTTCAGAGTGACCTGATTCTTGATTACAGCTGCAGCGCTGAACTGGTCACTTGTAATCGGGACATAAAGTAAAGCATACAAGTATTGACGTTGGCGATAATTCCCAGTGTAGGTCGGAGAACAAAGTACAATGAACCTACTAGATCTTCATAACTTGGCCTAGCCTGTCTCTGACATGCGCAGGATCTGAACCGTAATGAGGGGAGGTAAATGCAAGGACTTTGGTTTAGCAAGTGGAAATTGTCACGAGAAAGCCGCTACATACCTTTCAACCATGCAAATAGATTTCAACGTTGAGATAGGATGGAACAAAAAAATACTCTCCTCCCCGAGAGTTGATGAAGAATTCCTGAGGAATTCCTGGGGGAGATTGTACTCCCCTGTAAGAAGGTACCGCAAAGCCCGAGACCTCCAGTTCTGTTTGATTACCTTCAATAATAACCGTAACTGCCTTTCCAGGTGTCGCTTGGGGCATCGGTACAGTGGTGGAAGCTTTGAATTGGTTTGGGAGGTCCGCCAATGAGAGGATCTTGACCTGAGTTGAGAACAAACAAACTTAGCAATGTTCCTTCATATGAAGCCGCGCCATACCGTGATGTGCGGGGATCAGGGAAACGGCTGGGAAGAAGTCATTATTCGCATACCCAACCGTCTGACGGACGAATCCCGAATTTAAGTCCTGACTGGTAGCAAGTGAAAAGAAGACCACGCTTCAAGTCATCCGTTTCGCCAGACTGATTAGAGTTTTTCTCCGCAGTCGGTGACCTCCAGGATGTCTGGCATCAGCTGATATGACATGCAGCGATCAATTAATTTACCTCGCAGCCATATGGAAGACCAGCTCGAACAATTGATGAAGCCTCCAGGAACTTCTTGCTCAGGTAAGGATAGAGATCGCGGGGCGCAGTCTTCCGGGTGTGTGCGGTGAAAGGACAGATCATGTCTGTAGGCTCGTCCACACCAGGAACGGTGTAGTCGAAATTATTGTTTTCATTTTCATCGGTTGCCATCTTTGGGTCGTCACGGACGGGTGCCCTGGCGAGAGGTGCGCCCTGGAATCGTAAGGAACTTAAATTATGATGTTATGATTAAAATATTGATGATAATTACCGAAGGCCATCGGCCGACCATCCTGGCTCCCCAAAGCGCAGCACCTTCATCCGAACTAAGGGGCGGTTGGGCATGAACTTTCGGAACGAATTCTTTCCATCGCGGACCATTCTTCGCGAGATACTGGTTGAACTCTGGAACGAGCTGTTCTAGCTTTCGGAAAGCCATAAATGACCCATCCTTCACCCATGCCGGCCGTTTGCGAAGTGCTGGGTCGCCTTTGTAACCTGCGATGATGACGCCAGCATCCACTTGGATCTGCCCAGGTAATGGTGCGATGAGGTTCCTTAACGATGGAAGATTAGCTTGAAATTCGTTCTTGGTTTAGTATGATGGACCGTACCTGATAGCGGGTTGCGAGATGCCGTCCTTATAACCAAAATGCTCGTGCCCCTTGAACTTGCCTGGACGAGCCCGGCCATGTAGAATGTTGTTCTTTATGTACTCGATTGACGAGAGAAAGTGTAATATTGACTCCTGCGTACCAGCCTTGCATACAGATTGATCTGCAAGGTGCAAGATGCAAAAGCATAACTATGAGTGTCACTAGAAACAAGGGACCAACATTAATACAACCAACCGCTTCCAGCTATAGTGATGACACCATGGAGAGCACCAGCGTCTACATTCGCAGTCCCATTGACTGGATCAAAGTTGGGTTTATCGAAGATACTGTCCCACTGCATGCCGTCGCCAAGATACTCCTTGTTGTCACGCATGCAATAGACATCGAAGCGATCATCGCCCGTTTTGTCGGTGAGGCCAAGAACGTTCAGCCCCGCTCGGCTGAATGCTATCTGCTTCTGTACGACATTGACCCAGGTACCTGATTCCTTGGCCGCAGTGTATTGCTACTAAGTTATCGTACACTTGTTTGCCGTGAGTGGGCTCCCAGGATGCCAAATCCTTCTTGAATTGTGTGACGTCTCTGATCCTAAAGAAAATGAAGTCCTCTGCGACCTACTCCAGTGTTCAGGTTCTGCGAACATTACAGAATCGTATGATACCCTTACCTTCGGGAAAAGATAGATTATGTCTCCTTGCACGTTCTCTGGGTTAGGAACATCTGGAGGTGAAGACGGTGGTAGAACTAGAGGTACAAGTCCGCGACGCTTGAAGTGAGAGAAGGTATTGTGTGAGCGCTCAACATCGGTCATGGTGAGTAAGAATAATTGCTCGTGGAACAATGCAGATTGAATGGTTGGCTGTTACTCTTTCTTCAAGTTATATCTGCAGTTCATCAGTGACGGCACAGAAGGCATGATACCGGGCTATCTGTATCTCGAGCATCCGAGAGTGGTCCCGTGAGTAGCCTGATCAGTAACATCTTCCATGCAGACTGTCATTGACCTAAGAGTCGGAAAGATCCATGCCCAATGATTGTTCGATAGAACTTGGATAGAACGTTAACCGTCCGTAATGTTGCCCATTCTCCCCTTGACCCCGCATTAGACGATGACGGGGATATTAATCAACGTTTGCGACCCTGTCTGACACGTAAATGGGGTGCAGACAGTAGCCCATTTGTAATCCTGATTAGTACTTCCTCTCCGCCCGATCCAAGAGGGTTGGTGTACCGGGAAGATGGAGCATGCCCGGATCAACGCAAAGTGCCGTGCCACATTGAGGTGATTTGCTCAAGGGACTCGGGAGGATTCCAAAATGTGCACCACGTCCGAAGTCAGAGCAAGGTCAGACTCTCCGTGAATGGCACAAACTTAGGAATCCGAATGGCAAAGGGGAATAGAGCGAATATTAATGACGGCCATTGGTCAGCCTCGTTTTATGATTCTACAGTTATGGACGAACCTGAACGAACTGCATTAAGCAAGCAACTACTTGAAATGCCAACGGAAAACTCGAGGAGATCTAAAGTTTCATATGCATATAACCCTGTTATCACTCGGATCTTACTCGTTTACAGGCAGGAGAGTTTTATGTGCCGTTGTTGTCAGTCGGATCTTAGTACTTACTCGCTTCCCGCGACCCCAGCTTTGGACTTGAATATTACGCGGATATCACAAAAAAGCCCTAGAAAACCGTATCATAGTAAGTCCTACTCAGTCGGAGAGGCAAGAATGTGCGTCTGTGATACATGTCAGCTTGCTACGTTCATTGCTGACTGTTTTGATGATGGGAACACGAACCCTCGTCCCTAGTCAGTGTCAATGAGCCTTGAGAGTCAAGACTCGAGCAGCCTGTCTTGGACGCAAGAACAGCTTCGATGGCTGGTGGCGACTCCCCATGCCAAGCTGTTACCATTAATGCATACATCGTGTCATACTGCTTGTGAAACTGTAACCCATGCTTCTGGGAGATCACAGAAACTGTCTTATCATATACTACTTCTTGAAACACGAGTAAGATGTTGAACGTCGAGCCTCTGATATTACAATGAAACGAGCTGTCTTCCTAGGGTCTAACTAGAAACAGGACTCTCGATGACAAGCACAGCGTGCTTCACAAGATCAACCTCGCAGGTGATAGCGTCGTTGATACTTGAACAAAGCCGATTTCACCCCCACTATGCTCAGCCCCAACCCAGCGAACAGAACCTTGAATGTGCCCCCTGCTGCGAGATATAGTGATGTGACGTTGACGCCCTTCGCCAGCAGGATCCTCGACTTCATGCTGCTCAAGAGAGGGCCCGATGATTGAGGATCCTACAGAGAAAGAGCCCTCGAATGCGCTGTGCAGGCTTACGGTCGCAGGAGCATTCCGGGTGCTTGCCTTACTGTTGAGCCAGGAATCAACTGGCGAGTCGACATAAGTGAGGGCAAGTGGCGCGTTCGTGGTCTGTGCATCGACTGTGAATTCTCCGGCAGATCCTGAGGCAGTAGTTAAAGATACACGTGCATCAAGGGGTCTAGATGATATAACGAGGAATCGTTTAGTGAATCAAGGAATGAAAAGGAGCATGGGTACACACGCGTTTGTGGTTGTCATGACCAATTCAGATGGATTTTCATCTTCGTTATGGGACAGATCAATAACTGCGTCAATGGCGATGTTGGTAGTGATGAGTTTGAGAGACGAATTCGATCGGAAGTGTCCTTTAATGACCCCGTTGGCAGTGGTAAAAATTCCTGTCTCGGCTGCTACAGACTAAGTATACAGATTTCAGCGCTAAATACTCAAAATTCTAAATGACATAGCACTAACCTGGACATTGATCGGTAGATGCAAAGTGTTCAACGAAATACTACCAAAGAAAACGGTGTCCGACAAAGCTGCAACCTCGTGGCGAAAAAGGGGCGCAGAGGTTTCCAAATTCTTAATATAGAGAACATCCCCGCTGGCGCCGGCGGGTAGAGTCACTGTGACATCAAACACGAGTTGATCTTTGTTATCCTGCGCAGGGATACGGATCTTCGGGGTCTAGGATTACCGATGGAATATTAGTTACGGCATAGCATGGTGTTTAAGAATAAAACTTGCATAGATGCTGATTCCATTCTCATTTTCCTGGCGCTTGACGTGACAAATATTTGCACGATCAAGGGCCTCTTCTTTATGGTATGCAGCGCGGACGCGTACGATGACAGTATCCGAGGCCTCATGGGACTGCTCCACGGTGAGAGTGCCGTATTGGAAGGCACCCCGAGAGAGGAAATACAGGGCCTCAGAGTCAACAGGAAGGGTAAAATGTGACTCGCTGCCAGAAGGGAACTGGTGTGCCCATGGTGGTATGTCATAGTATGCATCCCAATCTGCACTACTGATGCACTTGAGAACTTCCCCGTCGCCGGGATCAGGGTAACCAGGTTCACTTGAGTTTGTCAGAAACTTCAGCGCACGTAAGTTGGTTTCTAGTGATGAGGAACAAAGAAAGATACAACCTCATAGTAGGCGGAAAATTTACGCGCGATATCGAATCCCGGGTGGGTAAATACGACTAAGAGTAGCCAGCCCACAATGCCGATTCCACAGACCTTCAAAAGCCTAACTGCGATAGACTGGCGCGGCTGCTCCACAGATTGACAATCGCAAGCCTGGTAGTTGACGGTGGTGGCCTGCATTGACCCGAAGTTGCCATCTTCAAGTTGCAAAACCTTTTTCATGTCTCCGTTCATGCTGGTCAGGCGGCGCTTGTATGTCCGAGAAAACGAGGAAACCCAGCGTGTGCATGCCTGCAGATATACCGCAGTAGAGCTGGGCGTCAATGTCAAACGCTCCATGTCAAACGCGCTGCGCCCGCAGCCATGCAGCGCGGTCTGTCTGATGTGCTCGGAACCAGTCACGTACTTAGCCTACCAATAGGCCAATGGCTTACTTAGCATCTCAGATTGACGCTGATAACTTATTTTTCGTTTGGCACTTGAACCCCAGATCAAAAGTTTACCTGTTTCATGGTCGCGTCAGAATTACAGCTAGATGATGGTCACGGCATACCTGCTGTATTATCGTCAAGAGGCTCAGGCTATTGCGGGAAGGCGTCGGTCCCGAGTGCGAGCACGTGCCACGTGGGACATGCCGGCGGGATGTCACCTACTGCACTGGTAAGATCAATCAGTCAACGTTCAACCGGTTATCGAATTCCTAACCGTGACCCCGTGAGCTCTGGTTCTCGGCGGATTTCCACTTTTCACCTTCAATGTTTGTTTTGTTAATGCGCTGTAGAATTCAACTCGCTTCCCATTGTCGACTGCTCAAGCGACGACGACGACGACGTAGACACCAATGTCACATTGGCCAGTCCGTTCTGATGCCGCTTTCTATCTTCTAAACTCTATCATCTAGGACGTACACGGCTTATGACTTTGACAGTTACATCATTCCCTCAAACTTGTATCCTCTCAGTGACTGTCGATGCTATTTGTGTTCTCGCCCCTCACACCTCTCACTCGAATCTGTCCAGCAAGTTCAAAAGAAGGTTCTCCGGTGACCCGGTGTATGTCTTATAAAGCATGTTTCCTTGACGAATGCAAGCGGCTGTTCCCGAGTTTCAAGTTGCCACCATCAGATGGATGATAACGTTCGCCCAAAGGTTCAAAGTGACCCAGGCACTGACACCTACCCCATACCTATTGACTCTCGGCCCCCACAAACATCTCAGGCACAACGGAACTATTGTGGCTTCACTCGACGCCCTTTGGCCTAATATGTTGCCGAATTTCTGTCTGTTTCGGTTTCCTCGGACAACATGCATACATAGCCGAACCCTGGGGAACCACATCTGCGTTCCTGGCTCAGGTGCGTAGTGAAACAGGCACCTGGCCCCTTATTTACTACCGTCGGGCAGGTCACGAGCACGAACACGGGGGATGTCACTAGAAATCAGGGGTGTAACGTTTACAGCGGCGATGACATCGATGAAGGCTGGTCGAGGCATGCCGCCTGTTTACGCGAAATGCCATTGGATCTGTGTCCGAGAAGTCAATTTTCCAATACTGCGCGCACAATCTCCTTGACTGTGACGGTACTCAGGTCTGAGGAGGTGGATAAGTGGACATAGAAACCTTCCACGTGGCACCGCTGCGATAATAAGTTGCGCTCGCTGGCCTAAATTGGCCATGATGATGCCGTACCGAAGCGTAGTACCGACAGTGGACGGAGACTGTTACCCAGCTACAATACCGCAGTCGTGCGCATCGCTCTCTTCCTCTTCTGGTCACGCAGCACTTTGTCCGCAAAGAAATCGATCCATTCGAATTCCTTTCGTGGTGAGAGCCTATCTTTGACGTCTTGAGCTGTGACTCACGCAATACATAAGGATACATATTTTTGGATCCTCCCAGTCCCTTGCTTCCTTTGGGTCAGTTGCCTCGGGGCAACGCTCGCGGGAAGACATATTTGGAAATTATGATTCTACGATAAGGGAGGGATATACGGTGGGATCGGCCTAATGGGCCTCTTAAATCGCGGTCAGAAGAGCCGGAATGTGCTTGCAAAGGCATACACCTGAGACATGGTCAGAAAAGTTTTATGGGTAGATGCAATACATATCCCGAGACATATTTATGAATGTATTGATGTATTGATGTCGAATATGTCCCCTAATTTGAGCAGCGTCTGTTGCGGACTCTTATTTGGCTGTGTCTCAGGTGATAGTGCGTTGTGTTCCTCTTCTTTCTAGCGCTGAGATTTGGCTTCCCAATGCGGTGCACATGCCTTTCGCGACTGTATATGTTTCGTGTGCTCATTTAGTCACCTTCAGTCTTGCGAAACATACCGTCGATGAAGGATCACCTGTGCTCGTTCACTCCCTCAAGAATGATGCGCCAAATAATTGAGTGAGAGTCACCAAGCGTCTATTTCCATCTCTCGTAACCCACTAAAATGGGAAAGAGTGATATCAGTAAGTAACATCAATCACGCGTGAACTCACCGGTTCTAGCCTATCGAGAGTGACGGAATTATGTTCAGTGGCGAAAGCCATTTACGGCGGTGTCTGGTATGGTGCATCCGGGCTGGGGGTCATCTCCGGGGACCATTTTGTAATTAGCCGCAGCGTTTAGATTGGGGTAGGCCAGAGCAGGGCAGTTGCAATTTATATTAGATGGCTCGGACCAACGTAGTTAGGAGTCCAGGACGCCTATCACGACCTTTGAGCGGGTGTATATATGTAGCCGCCAGTAGTATGATACTGCACCACTGTGCCGTGCACGACGAGTCTGCACGAGTTCTCCTAAAGCGAGGTGTGCTATGCATTTCACAGATAAGCAGTGACCGAGGATGTGTAGTAGACGAGGACTGACTTGGAGTGATGACAAGATGAACTTCGGTTGTGACTGTTTACCATCAGCTCAAATTCTTGCGGGTGTCCTTTGGGCAAGTAAATTGGTAATAATGATAGTCTGACGAGTCTTGTGTTTTTGCAATAATTGACTTGGGCTAACCGACTAATCGCCGAACAAGCGTCTCACGAGCCCCGGTACATACGGGTTGTAGATCGTCGTGAAATGACAAGTAGCACGAGTAGCTATGGCGGTAAAGTGTAAAAGTATGACTGGTAGCGGCGACTACATGATCTAGTAGTAGCGTGGTGTTGGGGAGTTGTGAAGTGTAAGTATAGCTGTACCACGGAGGGAGCCAGGCACACGAATACTGTCAAATGAAACGTTGCTGAAAATGACGGTGGGTGCAGCATGTGGATGCCCTGGCGTGCCTCAGGGCTAGCGGCAAGATAGAAATGAGGGAGTTGATCGAGAGGCTGCGTCGCCAGGATAAAGAAAACGAGCAAGAACTTCAAAAAACTGCAGGGCCTCGTCCTAAGTAGTAAATACTAGTTTAACATACAGAAGTTATTGGTAGATTGGGCGGCCGGATACCGGCCTCGATAACCAAATTTAGGGTGGGAATACCAAAAAAGGTAATTAGTATGGGTGAAAATAAACAAAAATAATATAATCAGGAACTGGGAAGGTTGATGTGCCTGAGAAATGTGATTGGTTTAGTGATGATCCTCTAGTAGTTCTAGTCCTCCCACCGCACCAAGTCCTTTCCCTCCGGTCCCTTCCCTTTTCCTATACCCTCATATCCCCCCCCCTCCCGTCGTCTTGCTCATCGTCGTTCACGACGTCGAGCAAACTATTCGACGACGTTCACAAGATACCCTCATTGGCGTTCTCAAAGGTTGTACTTACAGGAACATCTTCTTAATCATGTCCGGCAGACCAACATCTTCAGCTGGAGGTTCTCGCCCGTTCACAGCTTCAGCTTTTCGTTCACATTCAGCCCGTCCTTCAACCTCCGCAGGAGCATTTGACAGTGACCGTCAGTATACCTATGATAATGCTTATATTGAAGAAGAAGAGGAAGAGGAAAGCGACACCGAGGACCTATTTGCATTTCTCCCTCCTTCAACTGCAGACCAACAGCGCGATGTCGCGAACCAGCGTGCCCTTGATTTTTCTCGAATATCACCAGACTACACCCATGTCTTCGCGAACGCCGTGCCATCAGACACCCCCCCGCTTGTATATCCGTCGCCGACCTTTGATCCATACGCTCGTTTCTCTACTGAAACAGCCGGCTCTTCTCGTCATTTTCCTGTACCCGTATCTCAGGTGCCGGTAGAAAGTCCACCATCCACCGCGTCAAATCAAGGCGCCAGCGACCCGTATCGCATGCGTCGGCTAAGCACCGCCCTCACTAGTACAACGAATACTCACCCTTCGAGAACTAGTGCCCCGAGTTCTCAGGGAATACGCGTCAATCTTCCCTCCAGCCCACCTGAGAAGCACGTCGAGGAGGACCTCCGTAACAGTTCACGGAGGATACGGCATCCATCATCAACACTTGGGGATTCGACAACTCTGAGCATTACACCTAGTATGTTGGAGCAAGACAGTCGCGATGGTTCAATAAAGTAAGTTTTTCGTTTCTCTAGGGCGAATAGCTTAACAGTCTGTATTTTGGTGTCGTGATATAGGATGGAATTTGATTTTGACGCTGTGAATGAAGAAGACAGTCCATTTCCCGAAGTTCGGGCATCTGTATCGAACATTGATGACCCAGAAATGCCCGCTATGACATTGCGGATGTGGGTAATCGGTCTGGTTCTCTGTATGACGGCTAGGTGAGTTCATCATAGCAGTGTCATTACTCGTAGTCTCATGGTTCTCAGCGCAATGAATCTATTCTTTAACTTCCGGCAACCTGCCCCCGGTGTCTCTCCCCTTGCCCTTTTGCTCGTGTGTTATCCAATTGGAAAATTCTGCGCTTTCGTCCTACCAATCACGACTTATCGTCTCCCATGGTATCTTGGTCGTCACGAGTTTTCCCTCAATCCTGGACCATGGAACATTAAGGAGCATGTTTTGGTCTACATTATGGCAAACGTTGCTATTAGCGCACCTTACGCTATCAACGCCATCGTGGTCACTCAACTCAACTACGGCGTTCAAGTGGATTACTGGTTCAGTGTACTCCTGGTTCTTGCAACTCAACTCACAGGATTTGGTCTTGCGGGCATGTGCAGACGCTTTTTGGTTTGGCCTGCGAGCATGGTTTGGCCACAGAATTTGGTGACGTGTACTTTATTGAACACACTCCACGCGGAGGACGACGAAGAGCCAGGATCGATTACACGATACAGATACTTCCTTCTCGTGCTTGGTGGCGCATTCTTCTTCTATTTCATTCCTGGTAAGAGTGACTTCATACCCAATTGGCTTGACTTTGATGAGTTTTTAGGCTACCTTTTCAGTGCTCTCTCGGTGTTTTCTTGGATGTGTTGGATAATGCCGGATAACATCCCAGTTAATCAACTATTTGGCGTCGACTCAGGCTTGGGTATGACCATAGTGACGTTCGACTGGTCACAGATCTCGTGGATAGGAAGTCCGTTGATGTATCCATGGTGGGCTGAAGTTCACATCTTCTTTGGCTTCGTTCTTTTCTTCTGGATCATCACACCGATCATGTACTACACCAACGTAAGTCCCCCCCAGCCCCGAGCCTTCTGTCGTTCGTTTCTGACTTTGTCACAGACGTGGAATCTGGCCTACTTCCCATTGAACGACAGTAATCCATACGATCGCTACGGTAACGTCTACAATGTGTCGGCTGTATTGGATGCCAACAATCGGTTCAATCTCACGGCCTACCAGAACTACTCTCCATTATATCTTCCCGCGACTTATGCGATGACCTACATGCTTGCATTCGCCCTATCGACATGCGTACTCGTGCACACAGTCCTTTATCATGGTCGAAGTTTATGGAACGGGATGAAGAAGATTCGCGTCGAGCAGGATGATATCCACGCGAAGCTTATGCGCAACTACCCTGAGGTGCCAGACTGGTGGTATGTCGTGTGTTTCATCGCCTTTTTCCTCCTCATGGTAGTAGTCGTGGAGGTAAGCTCACTCCCCCCCTTTGCATGTTGGCCAATTTTGTTCATCGGCTGTCGGCAGGTGTGGCACACGTCAGTACCTGTGTGGGCCTTGCTGTTGTCCTTGGCATTGCCAATTCTATATGTCATGCCGTCTGGGTTCATTTACGCGATGACTGGGCAAGGGGTATGTGTGGTTTCGCACTGCATTCGAGAATAGCAATGCTCACGTCCGATCTTTACAGATCACGTTGAATCTGCTTGCGCAGATCATCCCAGGGACTTTGATAGCGGGTAACCCTGTGGCGAACATGGTGTGTGGTCACACTGCATTGCAAGGAATTTGACGTAGTGATCCGAATCTTTCACAGATCTTTAAGGCATACTCCATTCAGACATTGACGGAGGCTACTTCATTCGTACAGGATCTCAAGCTTGGTCATTACATAAAGGTCCCTCCACGAGCCACGTTCATTGGTAAGCGGTGCTTCTTTGATCGTCACTTGATCCATTGACCAAGGGCTTTTCCTGCAGTGCAATTCGTGGGCACCCTGTTGGCATCATTCATTCAGATCGGTGTCAAGCAGTGGATGTTCGATAATATCCCGGACATCTGCACCCCAGACCAACCCAGTTTCTTGACGTGTCCACACAACCAAGTGTATTACACTGCATCTGCAGTCTGGTACGTCTGTCTCTTACTCCATTTGCTGTGTCTTTTCTTAATTGTGCATGCGTGCAGGGGTATCATCGGACCCACGCGGCAGTTCGGAAAAGGAGCACTCTACTATCCGGAGTTGTATGCCATCGTCGTCGGCACTTTCCTACCCATTCCTTTCTGGCTGTGGCAGCGGCGGTACCCGAACTCGTGGGTCAAGTTTGTGAGCACGCCTGTCGTGTTGAACGGTGTCTCGTATATACCGCCTGCGGCTGGCATCAACTATTCTGCCTGGTTTGCAGTCGGGTTTGTATTCCAATATCTAATACGGAAGCGGAACTTTGCATGGTGGAGCAAATTTAACTATGTGACTAGCGCAGCTTTGGATACCGGTATGTGACCGCCTTGCATTCCTTGATTTTTATTGGCTAATGGCGCACTATAGGCACAGTTTTGTCATTGATTGTAATATTTTTCACGTTAGATGTACGTTTGCATTCTGTTCTTCATGGCTGACATTCATTAATCATTGTTCAGTTCCCAAAAGGTGGCCTCTACATCAATTGGTGGGGAAACACCGTCTACACGAAGAGTGCGTCCTTGTGCCAGTCTGATCGATCTGTCCGTACTAAGTTGCATTTTTCTCTTACCAGCCGCGGATTGGAACCGTCTGGCACTCAAGCCCATCCCATCAAGCGGTGTCCCTTTAGATTAATGTATTTAGCAATCTGCAACAATATGACTTCATCTAGGAATCAATGCAAACAGTGGATATGTGATTGGTGCTTGACGTCGATCTCAGTAATGGATCAGTGGGCGATGTCACAGGTCTTGTGAGGCCTTGTTATCGAAGCCAATGACGGCCTTCGATATATTGGTTCATGAAAACAAGCAATGAATTAGATCGAGACCACGATGGAAGAGAAGCGTACTTCGTGGTAGGACAGACGCTCAGGGAATTCGTCGCACGCGTCGAGAAGCATGATTCCAAGGACGACCACTTTTGGTATGATAACAAGGTGGTACCCAAAATGTCACTTAGCTGTGCCAAAATACGGGTCCGAAGATGGATACGCTATCGGTAGGCTATGCACGCACGCTCATGGTAATGGTTAGGAGACAAGACACTGTATGTAATTATCCCAGCACTGAACAATGACGAGTGTGGCAGCGGGGACGCATGGAACATATATGAGACACCCTGAAAGTAAATTTCACAGAATGATGATCGCGACGGAAATCTACCCTCCTCGCCCTCGCCCACGTCCACGTTGTCCGCTACCTCTGGGACCTCCACGGCCTGAGCACGATGAATTAGGACCGATATGGCATATTGGGTACGAAATGGACAGACCTCTTGGTGGGGCACCTCGGCCTGTATGGAGATTTCATGCACCATATCGATATTCCATGAAAACGGCGTGCGGTGCGAGGATAATGAAATAAACGAATGGTTAGTGTGCCAATTCCGCAATTGCAGAGCGATCGAATCAGACGCACCACCTCTCATATTTGGTCCTGCTCCTCCTCGCTGCACTTCGGCCAGCTTCTCGTGCGCGTGCTTGCTCCTCCTTCACAGTATCTAACAACGTGTCCGGCACTCGCAGGTATTTTATCTGAGGGTTCTTCAGCGGCACTGAGATAGTCAAACGGGATCCTTGAACGCACTGTGCTGCCGCGAATGTAACATTCTTTCAACTTCCAGAATCTGTCACCGTCTGCACTGGTCTGATACACCTCCCGTAGTGTTATGTTCATGAAGTTATCACAATTGACGAGGTGACCATTGAATGTTTCGCCATTTTTCAGCTCTACAAGCTGCGATTGTTAAATCGGATAGAAAACGTAGACAGATTGTCAGCTTTAGATGATGCACGAGACCGAGACATACCATGGGTTTGTTTTGTGCGGCAGTCAACAGTGACAGAGGCAACTATAAATTGAGAAAAGCCATCAGCAATTGTACACATATTTAAAAGGCGTATACCATGTTGTTGTAAAGCGAGTCTTTTCTCGCTTATTGATGCTTGGGTCGTGCTCGATAGTCGCGCCCAAAGACGTCGCAGTATGTATACCATCTGTGGCTGTGCTGCACAACTCCATCCAAACGTCAACGTAAAACATATGTATGTCATATTATCATCATTCGGAACGTAAGGATACCTATACAAGTACACTTGAACCAACCTGATATACCCCAAGCTCAGATCACCTTATCATGATTCGGAACGTAAGGATGCCCATACAAGTACACTTAATCAACCCGATATACCCAAAGCTCAGATCACCAATTCCACCCGGCCATTCGAAGTCTTAACAGTGGCGCGCCCTTCAGTCTTTTTGCTCTCGTCCCAGTAGGCAGACCCTCGGAGGCGATATCTCTCTTGCCTTTGAGTCACGGCCCTGCGACGACCCTGTCCAGAAGGATCCTCAACAGGCAGCTCCTTGAAAAGGGCTGCTGCATTAGAAGTATTCACGTCGAATGAGCCTTCGAAATTGCTGTGCAACTTAAGGCTTATTGCTGCGTTAGAAGACCCCGTGTCGGATGTGAGGAGTGCGTTTACAGGCATGTCAGTGTATTCAAGACTGACGTGTCCATTTGAAGTATGTGTTTGGACGTCGAAGATACCGCCATTGCCAGAACGCGTGATGAGATCCACGTTGGCATCAATTTTACTGATACGTGTGGTTAGCCGTGGAACAGAATGATAGAACACAAGTCTCATACCTAGTTACTTGTTGTCATCTTGAGCTCACTCACTTTCCCATCCTCTAGGTTGAAAAGTGAAACAGACGCTTGAATGGGGCCGTTCGAAGTTTCGAGCTTGAGAGAAGAGCCACTATTGAAATGCCCTTTAATGGCGCCATTGCTTGAGCGGATGAAACCATCCTCGGTGGTGATAGACTGATCGGCAAGTATTTAGATGAGTCATCTTAATAAACCAGGAAACCAAAACAACCAACCTTCGCATTTACGGGGCCATTCGATGTTCTGAGTGATATTCTATCGAAGGAGATGGTGTCCCAGACATCTGCGACATCTTGACTGTAATTAGATGTCTCTGTCTCGAATGCCTTGATGTGCAGAGCGTCTCCATTCTTCCCCGCGGGTAAGCGTGATCTCCACCTCAAATCTTAGCTGTTGTCCATTACCAGGGAAATACGAGAATGCAGGTGTCTGCAGAGTTCTATTTAGATGAAGGTTGAAACGAGGATTGAAGTATTTACAAGGATACCAATACCATTCTCATCTGCTTGTCGTTCGAGACGACAAACATTGACATGATCCAGCGCTTTGCGAGCGTGATAGCCAACCCGCACTCGAACACCAACTTTATCTGTCGGCTTGGTGGACTGCACGATATCAACATGGCCGGATTGTTGAGAGCCCCTCGTGAAGAAGTAGATTGCATCGGAGTCGACGGGGAGCTCTAGGAATGCCTCGGCACTATAGGGAAATTGGTTCAAGCTTCGATCAGACAATATCCAGTCGGAGCCGGTGATGCAGTGGTGGACAGTGCCATCTTGTACCCCAGGATAAGGTGGCTCACCGGTCCAGAACTGATCAAATACGTCAGCCAAAGGGATATCACTGAACGAGAGCAAAATGGCATACGGGTCGAGATCCACGGTTGAAAGCCATGTCGGCGGCAGAGTTGGTGAACGCAGCAACGAGGAACCAGATAAGTACAGCAACACCGAATGCTTTCCAGAAACGTTGTGCGGGTGACTGACGATATACGACTACCACTACGTCCCTTGGAGGAGAATTGGGTTGATAGGATATATGGGGAGTATACGGAGGGGGGGATAGTGCATCGGCCTGGGGGAGGCCGCTTGAGCTTGATCCTGCCGTCTGAACGTTGCCTGTATTGCGTTTTGGGCTTGTATCAACAATTATCATGCCGTTGATTTCAAAGGTTCCTCTTGTGCTGTTGAAGCCAAAACTAACTAGTAGCTGTGGATGCGCTCACACATTATAACTTATAAATGCTGTGATCTGGGCTGCGATGGCACTCGTGACCTGACGCCTTCCGCGCTAATTACCAAGATGACTCGTTCGCTTTATTTAAACTTGATTCTAGGAGAAGACTACCCGGGGTGAGAACCATGAATCCAAGCGAGCTCCGCAGCTGCTGCTTGACACGCCGCGGCGCAGTCCCTTGGTCTCTCGCGTTTTGCCTCGACTCACTGCTGCGGTAGCCTCTTTCATACTACAGTATAGGACCGGTCCTTTACCCACCACATTTTGAAATGCATCCCATCACACAAGTCCTTTTTTCGAAAATCGTAGTAGACAGTAATACTTCAATATCCATGCAAATGCTATGAACCAACGTCGAGAGCTATCAACAGCGATATTAGTGTGTTGTATGAAGATCAGTGAAAACAGAGCTATCTTTGACTTTACCAATCCTTTACCTACCTCGATTTAGTCGTCACATCACGCAGCACCGTAACAAAAACAACTCGAAAAGGCAATGATAAGATCACAAGATGCGGAAGCTGAACCGCGTGACAGGGATGTGTGACAAACTCACCAAGATAAGTCTTTCATAAATTACCTACTAGTCCAAGCCCATTGTGCCTTCGGCACAGGAAGCAAGCAGAGTGTGAAGCACTCTGCTGAAGGCACCTTTAGTGCTTTGTCTCACTGTGTCTTCAACACAGGCTGACTATTTAATATTACTTAGTTGTGTGAAATCAATAATTTCTTACATCTTACATTTCATCAGCAAAACACTTTTTTTCCCACCACCAAAAAATGGCTGGCCACAGCTTGGTCCCTTCTGTACAGAGCCCACAGAGGCAAAGTGATTTGCTGATGTTAAAAAATATCATATACTTTTGTTTTAGTTGTGGGATGTTGCACAAACAGTGAGACTGAAGTTTACCTGGGACACTGGTTCAGAACCTCGGTTCGACCTGGACCTTTCTGAACCAGACCCATGGTCTGGTCACAGGTTCAGCATAGCCCCTGGACCGAACCTTCACACAGGTCTGGGGTTCGGCTGATACTGATAAATCACGAACATGTTTGGACACATCCGAATGCATCCAAACCAACTGGCAGAGGAGGATCCCTATGGAAGCTTCCATACCTGATTCACTCAACACCATCATCGCTATTGAATGATCTCCAGGCAACAAATGGGCATTGTCAGCCCTGAATATATCAATCTCAGGAGATTCAAGAGCCTGAATAGCTTCTACTTTGCACTTAACCCAGTGGCAGCATTCCTCAGTGATGTTCTGGTGAGCCAGACATCATTATTTGGATTCTAATATATCTTACTATGTCAAGAACATATCTCTGGGATTCTCATTTGCATCTTTCAATGCTCAATGTCAGTCCATGGTGATTACATCTTTCTGTGTGTGGAAATGGTACATTCAAGGTGCATTAGTATAATTCTATGTTACAGTTTGTGGTCGGTATAAAATATCTATGTTAGGTCCAATATCCACCCTTCCTGCTGTGAAAATGTTGTGTGCACTTGGACCTGATGGCCAATTGAAAGATGCTAGCGACATTGAGTGGTACAACGATTGAGATGATGATTCTCCCATGCTCCCAGCACCACATCCTCCCACATCCAATGACAAATTAACTGCCTTCATGTTGCATCGCTCAGGTCGAGCCATTGTTATGACCAACGTTCACCAATAATGATGAAGGCGAGTACACAACCACTAGGACTCGGTCAGAGATGATGAGGAGTAACAGGATAGTATTGAGCGTGAACGTCTAAGTCACTACAACAGTAGGAAACGAAGAGGTTAAGTCTAAGGAGCTCTTATGCTAACTACCCTACTTTTATACATAACATTGAGTAGGAGTCTGAAAGAAATCAGCCAATGAGAAAAGAGTCGTATGATACTGCGGATGAGTAAGTATGACATCATGATATATAAGCGACTGAGTAAGACGGTTACTAAATAGAAACCCAAGATCCGACTGGTTCTTCTTTAGGAAGCGAGATTGTTCTAGCCCGTGGAGTAGGGGAGCCAATCGGAGAAGCAACGGGTGACATATGACGAGGAGTCACGTGACTGGCTCGGGTACTGGAAGTAGCCGAAGGAAAACCGAGAAATGAAAAATGGTTCGTATTAGGAATTCATGACATTACCCCCTTTCTAGGATGAGTGTCCTCGCGAATGTAAGATGGTCGTATATTTTTCTGTCTCCATTCGAGGAAGTCAGGGGTCGTCAGAATTGAAGCGGAGATTCGCGCCGATTTAACTGCATTTGGGTTTTCTGCATAAAAGTCGGCTACAATGAGCGGCGTGTTCTTCACATCTTCCTCTGACTGCCATGTTGCTTCTTCTACTGCATATCCTTTCCATTTTACTAAATACTGCAACTTGCGCCTGTATAGGCAGCTTTGCAATATTTGCTCTGCTTCATATTCTGGGACTTGGTCAACAATCTCCGGCGGCGGACGCGTTAGAGGTGGGTGATCAACGAGTTGAGAGGTTTGATGTGGGGTGAGTAACGATACATGGAAAACTGGGTGGATGCGATATTTAACCAGGAGCTTCAACTTGTAGTTTAGCTCGCCAGTCTTCTCTTCGATTTCGAATGGTCCAAGACGGCGGTCGGACAATTTTTGGCTCGGACGGCGTTGTTTGATGTTTGTTGCGTCTAACCATACCTTGTCGCCTGGTTTGAATTCTGGTGCGTCTTTTACTTTATGATCATAAAAGCGCTTCATTCGATCGTTCACTATTTCCAGCATTGCTTTCGTCTCTTCTTGTGCCTCCTTCATCTCAGCTACTCTCTGGTCGGCATGGGGAATCATGTGGGAAGAATTAGGGGAAATCGTAAACTCGGGATTATAGCCGTAGACACATTTGAATGGGGAGTGTCCAGTGACGGTTACTGAGTTGTTATGTGTGAATTCAGCGATTGGAAGCCAAGAAACCCAATCATTCTGATGGTAGGATGTGAAGAGTTGTAGGTACTGTTCGACTTCTTGATTGACTCGTTCTGTTTGTCCGTCAGTCTGTGGGTGATATGCTGTTGACATGGACCACTTGGTTCCTAGTCGTTTCGAGACTTCCTGCATGAACTTGGACACAAACTGTGTCCCCCTATCCGAGATCACCTTCTTCGGTGTCCCATGTAACTTCCATACGTGATTGAGAAATAAGTCCGCGACTCCCTTAGAATCAACATCCTTGGTGGTTGGAGCAAGATGCGCTTGCTTCGTGAAACGATCAACGACTACCAGGATACTGTCTTTGCCCTGGGAGATGGGTAGATCGGTGATGAGGTCACAGCTAATGGTTTGCCATGGTCCTTCTGGAACCTCGTTTGGCTTCAAAGGTCCATGGGGTTTTGACGGTAGCACCTTCGTTTGCTTGCATCGATCACATCCATCTACGTAGTCATTGACCCACTTCTGCATCTGGGGCCACCAATAGTTTCGCGAGACAAGTTCAAGAGTCTTGGCACGTCCCATATGTCCTGCTGCAGGCGAGTCATGGAAGATCTCTAACACTGAGCGACGAATTTCCTTGTTACTGGGAACATAAACCAATCCTCGGAATAAAATGAGTCCATCCTCCGTATTCCACTCTTCCAATCCTCTTCTCAACTGTATGGGGGCCTTCTTCAGGGTTTCGATAGCATTTCGGACTTCCGGATCTAAATCGGTACAGTTTCTGATACGCTTCAACAGCGAATGCTCTCCTTCTATCAGAATCTGACCTCTTTTTGCGGCTTTGATATGAAAAAACTTGGGTTTCAGAAGCACGTGATCGGAATTGTCATTTTCTACCCCCCCTCTGTGGTCTGGCCTCCTGGACAGAGCGTCGGCAGTGTCATTAACCTTTCCTGGTTCGTGTTGCAGAGTAAAGTTGTACTCTGCAAGGAACAAGGACCATCTTGCCTGTCTTCGAGTTAACTTCTGGCTCATCATGAAGTACTCGAGGTTTTTATGGTCCGTCCAGATTTCTACCAGATGAGGTGTGCCCTGCACATAATGCCTCCACTCCTCCAATGTGCGGATGATGGCTAAAAGTTCTTTGTCGTGAATGTCGTAATTACGCTCTGCGTCCTGCATTGATTTGCTGAAAAAGGCCACTGGGTGCCAGAGTCCGTCTTCTTCCAACTGAGAAAGTACACCACCAGTAGCATAGTCAGATGTGTCGCTCTCTATCTTTTGTTTTTTATTCACATCTGGCATGACTAGCACTGGTGCGGAAGTGAAACTGTCCTTCAGAGTCTTGAAAGCCTTCTCTTGTTTGTCCGTCCATTCCCATGGTACATCCTTCCTGATGAGTTCATTCATGGGTCTGGCAATGTTCGAGAAACTGAGAATGAATCGATGATAAAAGTTCGCAAATCCCATGAATCGTTGAATGTCCTTGACACAGGTAGGAGTAGGCCATTCCTGAACTCCCTTAACCTTGACCAGATCCATAGAAACGTGTCCATCCTTGACGATCAAACCGAGAAACTCCACTTCCTTCTTCTCAAAAGAACACTTTTCCAGTTTGAGATAGAGATCATTGTCCTGCAACCTTTGTAATACCTCGCGCACCACCTTCCGATGTTTCTCTACATCACTGTTGGTGAAGACCAAGATATCGTCAATGTAGACTACAACGACCTTGCCTTCCTTTAGATCTTGGAAGATTTGGTCCATCATAGTTTGGAAGGTAGCTGGGGAGTTCGTCATGCCGAAGTACATTACGACTGGTTCATGATGTCCAAAAGGAGTTTTGAAGGCGGCCTTCCACTGGTCTCCTTCTCTCATTCTGATATTATTATAGCCCCATCGAACGTCCATTTTTGAAAAAAGCTTCACACCGGAAAGGCGATTGATAAGGTCCTGAGAGTGAGGGAGAGGGTATGCATTTCGGATGGTTTTTTCATTCAACCTCCGATAGTCCATG